CTGAAAAGTTCCCACATGTCATAGAACCCGAACTGTGTTCGATCGTGTTCGATCTGGGCAATTCGAATCGAACCCGCGTTCTATTTCGGGGTCACCTGCGGTCATTTACAATAAAGCGGCAAAACAAGCCCTTCTGCCTGAATGCCTCGCAACAGATAAAAAAACAACACTTTTCTATAGATACAAACAGTTTCCTGGACAGCACATGTCCGCTATAATTTTTGGTGGGTATGTAACATGTAGCGAAGCTACTGTCGTATCCTTGGGTGACCTTGAATACTGTAATGATTCTTTACACCTGTATGAATAACACAATGCACACTTTCTGGCGATATGACATGTCTCCAAAACTCGTTCAAACCTGGAAACATGGAGAGTCAAACATACTCCATTTACGGCTCAAAATGACTGCCACGGTTGTCCCGAAAATCGTGTTTTAGGGATTTTTGAAAAATGGCCTCAATTTTGAATTATGGGTAATTTTGTGAGAAAAATGTCAAAAAATGCCATTTTTGCACCAATATGTCGACAAAAACTAGACTTACAATCAGAAATTAAAAAATCCCGATTTTTTATCTTATTCCTAGTCTGCGAAAAATATAAAAATCGGGGATCTGGGGTGATATACGTAGCCAGGTTTGAACGATGTTTGCCTAAAAACGTGGCATGACTTGTGCTCGGAAACCCGAAAATAATCGTCTTTCTGAGCGAAGTTTTTAAAAATCAGTGATTTAACATAAAAAGCTAACATTTAAAGGATGTTAAGACGATAATTTCATTTTAATTTGACGAAATTTACCCCTAAATATTTTTTGTTCATTTTCAAATATTTTACGGGTAGTTCAAAACAGGCCAAAATAGCGTCTTGTAACCCGATACCTTTTCGAACGCGCATAGCAATGGGAAAGAATGCCGTAGTGACAGACCGCCGTGTATATCATATCTAGCAACATGTTGAATAGAACTAACTAGGAGCTAGTATGCATGCATGGCAAACATCTACTAGTATATGTATATTGGTTGTATCGATGATAATGATATAAATTTTTAATCAGATGAGTTGCAGTGGTCGTCCAGCGAGCCAGCCACACCCTGTGATCTGTGTCTGCTATTGGACAGCTCAGACAACTACCTGGCGAAGACCACGTCATGCACGGAGCTTCACAAGTATGTCTGCCAATCGGGTAAGTTTCCATTTGATTGCTTGAATCTCCATGACATAAGGCATAAACATAGCCTTTAATATGAAAAAGTAAATATAAAAGTCCACACGTTCTTCATCTTAAGAGACAGAACTAACGAGTCAGGTTGGCTTCTATCGTTACCACGAGAATGAGACTTACAATGTACCAAGGCCTTAACGTGCCAATAAAACACATTTGGCATGGCCATATCCCTTGCATATACTAATATGCCACAATCCTTGATATGCCCTTCCACTGGTTCAAATTATTTTGTAATATAAAATATTTTGTTTTTCCTTTTTCTGCAGAACCCAAACCATGTGGACAGAACGTCTGCTACAATGGAGGAAACTGCACCTCGTGTTTTGATGAGTCCTACCACTTCTGCGCATGCCCGGATGGTTTTGATGGAAAGTTTTGTGAGACAAGTGAGTTGCTAGTTTGCTAGTGATGGTTTATATTCAATGTTAACTCCGTATCCAGCTCAATTTTATATCAAATACTTCTGGTCTGTGCATGGTGCCCCATTTGAGTTTTGCTGCTGAAAAAATGTCCACGTGACACATGTAGAAAACTGTGACAAGATCACAAGAAAGCAAAATGCCGCGGGCTTGATCGAAACCAAAACTGTATGCGCCAAATAAAATGTGGAAAGAAATATACCAGTCTTTTTTGAAGTTGTTGTTTTGTTTGTTTTGAAACAGATGTTGACGAGTGCGCCTCATCCCCATGTCAACATGGCGGACAGTGCGTTGATGAGGTGAACTCGTTCCGCTGCTGGTGTCCTACAGGCTACAGTGGAGACCTCTGTGAAATAGGTGGGAACTAGATATGACACTACAAAATAATGCTACACTGCCGTTTGAATAAATAATGTTACATAAGGTATGAAACATAACAGTGAAACGATTTACATGTGCTAGTATTGCGTATCGTACGATGCCACTCTTATCTTGATATCTTCTCAGACATTGACTGGTGTGCGAACAGTTACTGTCCTTTTGACTGGACCTGTCAGGACGAGATCACCCACTTCATCTGCCATGGTGAGAAACATTTTCGACTGTCATCAAGATGTTCAAAAACTTATTTTATTTTGGGTCCGAACATATTAACACCATTCAAGATATTGAAATAGTTGTAAGTCATACTTTGACATTAATTGAAGATGCATATTTTCTGTTCATTGGCAACCTCTAAACTAATGATGATATTCCGCACACAGCACCTAGTACCGGAGTACCGATGAAAGGCTCCTACAGGTGCACCAGTGACTCCTGTCCGGACGGCATGCGCTGTGTGCTGGACGGACCAGGCTCGTTCTCCTGCAGAATCGACTGATCGCGACCGGGAAGTTCTGACGGATTGATGGACCTGTGACCAGCGCTGAATCTATAGTCATATTCAAAGATATCGTAGACATTTGATTTACATGAAGGTCAAAACACAAAAAAGAAATTGGCTTTACATTGTACTGCAATTTACAAAGACAGCAACATTCGTGGTGATTTTATTTTCGCGATCTTAGCGGTGACCTCTCATCGCGAAATCATAACACCACGAATATCTGGTTAATAGTTCTTTTTTTCGACCTGGAACTTCAAACGCGCGAATACCTCTAGATATTTTTTTCACTCTCTGCGAATAAAAATAAAATAATCACGAGGTAAATGCATTTAATACAACGTTAATAGTTCAAAATACGAAAAATCATCTCGAATTACTTGTCATACATCTGTTGCCTTACCGACTTCCATGTTTTGATATGACAAATGACACATCCTCTATGTAATGTAGTTGAAACTTCTAATTAGATTAGATTTAAGACATAAAAACTGTAGTTAATAGTCTCAGATTAATTTTGCCGATATTTTGCTGATGTTCTTACATAGCTAGTGTAGATATATCGTAAAGATGTATTAACGATTGTCGGTCTGTTGAGTGCTTTTTAAAAGCACCCAAGACTACTTAGAAGTAGTCTCAGTCAAAATAAAACCTATATGTACTATGCAGTGAAAAAAACTGTGCTCTTAAGCTTGTATTTGCTTTATTATTGATGTTTTCTGTTGCTTTTGATTATAAGATATATCATAAATTAGCATATAGTAAAATATTCTGATTGACAAAGTCCCTTTTGTTAAATCAATAACAAAGTTAAGAAAGCCATCAAGATAGACAGAGACGAAAAATGACATTTTGATTAAACTCTTCATTCAAATAACTATCGTTTATGATAACTTGTGATGACATATTGGAACTGTATTCACCAGCCAACCAACAGTCAATAGTATTTTTAGAAAGTCGATCGTCGAGCCATGGTCGAGCAAAATCAAGGGGACAGCTATTAAACTTGTAAAACATCACGGTAACGTTACACCCAAAACTCTGACACGGAACTTTTTGTTGTGTCTCTTGTTACGTCCAAAACATATGGAATTCCCCATATGATCATCATCATCATCATGGTGTTTTTAATTGAAAAATGCTGCTATAGTTGCTGTATGTCGTCCTCAGAAGTCGGTCGATATTATAAAGGTAATCAGGTCATTGGTTAGGTCAAAGGTCATGCGGCAGCAGCACATGTGCGGACGTGCGTGTTTTCGATGCGTTTCTCTGCTGACTTTAATTCAGGATTTTAAAGTATCTTGTGCATTCTTATGGCATCAAAACTGGCCCAACGCTGACCCATCACGTAAAGGAGTAACTGAGGTCACAAAATACGCAGCTGTTTGTAGGGAAAAGGTATCAAATATTTTGTTTCGTGCTTGCCCCCCTCCCACCCTTGTGGATTTTAAAGTAACAGTGTATCGAAAAGTTTTGTTGAATAGGTAATATTTGAGCTATTGGCTGTATTATCCTCAGTTTTGCAGATTTAACGATTCTTTGTGTGGGTTAAGATATTTTTGAACTCTATAAAATGGTGATTGTGTATCCAAAATAACGGCCTGGTTTTGTTTATTTTAATACGAAGTATCAGTCCAAGACTAAGTAGAAGACTCTGATTATACAACATTTCACTTCTTCTTCGTCACTTTTCAGCAGTCCTGTTGTGGACATTAAAGCTCAGATAATCCAAGATGGTACTGAAGAAGGTTGACAACAGGATCCGTGTTCTGATAGAGAATGGCGTGGTACAACACCACAGAGGCCTGTTTGTCATCGTGGGAGACAAGGGCAAGGACCAGGTATGTACAAGTAGTAATGGGTCGTTTTTTTTCTTGTATTGGTCACTTGTAAGACTTGAATCAATATTCTAATGATGTTACACATACAATGCATGTGGATCCTGTGACTACTCTAACATTTAGTCTTTCTTAAACAGCAGTCTTTATTCAGGAAACAACAGGCTTAATAACAACTACACTAGTGAAGTGCTGATATCTGAACCTACTGTCATTTCACACACAGGTTGTGATCCTTCACCACATGTTGTCAAAGGCTCAGGTCAAGGCACGCCCCTCTGTTTTATGGTGTTACAAAAAGGAGCTTGGATTCAGCACGTAAGTATCAGCAGCTGATGATAAGATGTAATATCGTACTTTTGCTCAGACGTTAGAAATCAATAGTGCCTCTTCTTGTTAATCAAGCACAAAAATGTTGGATGAACATGCTTTGATTGAAGATGGCTTGAAGTTGATACCAAAGTTTTTCTTGTTTAAGCATTGGGTCTGTTCTGTCAATGAACCCCTGTGGTTTGTGAAGCACTTAACAGTTGTAAAGAAGTTTTTATTTAATCTTTTTTTTACTCCCTCACAGACATCGTAAGAAGAGAATGAAACAGCTCCAGAAGAAGATCAGGAACGGAACTCTGGACGTGAAGGAAGACGACCCATTTGAACTGTTCATAGCTGCCACAAATGTCCGCTACTGCTACTACGCTGAGACCCATAAGATTCTTGGAAACACATACGGCATGTGTGTGTTACAGGTAAACATACAACTTGTCAAATCTTGTATGATAGTAAATACAAATTCATATGACATTGTTTGTTTCAGTGACATAAATGAAGTATAGATTCTATATACATGTAGTATGTAAAGTATAGATAAGGTTTTGTTGATTCAAGATTCTTCGAAAATTAGCTTTATAAGATGTTAAAGGTACATGGATTCTTTCCTTGTCACAGGACTTTGAAGCACTGACCCCCAACCTGCTGTGCAGAACCATTGAAACAGTGGAGGGTGGGGGCATCGCCTGTCTGCTGCTCAGGAGTATGAACTCACTCCGACAGCTGTACACCATGGCTATGGTAGGTGGCCTGGAGTTTGGGAGGGGGTAGCATGTACCATGTACAAATTTATGCATTATTTATGCATGTGTCTTTGTGTATGTATCTGTGTCTATAGTCTGTTAGATATTGAGAGCATGAACTCAAATGCTAAATACACTACATGTAGCTGCTACAGTAGGTTTTCTGGATTGAACTTACATTCTGTTGAATACAAGTGAATATCAATGTCATGTCTACCTTTCAGGATGTACATTCCCGGTACAGAACAGAGGCACACAGAGATGTGGTGGGCAGATTCAATGAAAGGTGTGGTTTTAGATTTTCCCATATTGTATTTAATTCTAATCTAATTCAGTAAAAACACTGTAACCATAAGACTACCTTGCCACCTCAGATGTCTTTAGCCATATGTTGTGGGATAAGCGAGCCTTACCTTGTTGCAGGTTTCTGCTGTCCCTGTCGTCCTGTGAGACCTGTATGGTGATAGATGACCAGTTGAACATCCTCCCCATCTCCTCACACATCCTCAACATATCAGCTGTGCCATCCAGGTCAAAGGTCAGTCACAGCCTTCACCATCATCAGTCTTCATGACCTTTTGTGACATTGCAAGTTGCCAAATAATATAGGGCCCAACTGATTTTTTGAGCTTTCCCATCCTACTCAATAGATTTTTTGAAAACCCAAGTCGTGAAATAGAAAAGACTATTTTTAACTTTCAAACTATCAGAATGATTTCTTTGCATTGTAAGTTCTTATCCTAACAAATAACATGTTAGTAGCATTGCTGTTGGCTTTAATGTATCCATGCATAATTAGAAAGAAGCTGTAACTTGTAACTACTGTACTATAAATTTTGTAAGATTTTTCTTTTTTCTATGTCTAACTACTTGTACCAGGAATAGTAGTGCCTTGCTTAGTAGTGCCTATAACTTAACTGTCTGCACCTTTCCACAGGAGGACTCCCTAAACCCTGCAGAGGTAGAACTGAAGGGGTTGAAGGAATCCCTGCAGGACACCCAGCCTGTGGGCTCACTGGTCAACTGCTGCAAGACTCTGGACCAGGTATGGATAGACCACTGTGAAACTGCTCTGTCTGTTGATGTTCTGGCTTTTGAAAAAATTATTAACTTGGCCTAGACTGGAAGTAGTTTTCTTGTTTTGACAGATTCTTTTTCAGTTCATGTTGCATGATATTGATGAGTCTTGTTTTCCTGATGATTCAATAGGCCAAGGCTTTACTGAAGTTTATTGAGGCCATCTCGGAGAAGACACTGAGGAGCACAGTTGCCATGACAGCAGCCAGGGGTCGGGGCAAGTCTGCAGCACTGGGACTGGCCATAGCAGGGGCTGTAGCATTCAGGTAATAAATATACCACCAACCTCTCATGCATGTTGAAGCTGCTGCAGTACCTGTGTGTGGTGCTAGGTGGGATGCATTCAATGGATAGTGAAACAAATATTGCTTGTTCTTTGGTACAGACTGAGTCACAAGTCATATTTCTTAACAAAGATGTTTTTTGCTCCCTTGGTAAATCTTAGGTCAAAAATAGCCTACTACATGTAGATTAGTAGCAAATACTGGACATAGATTACTAGTGTTAATTGCATGTTTGAAAAGAGAAGCGACATGTACTCTCTGGAAAAAGAAGCTAACCCCTCTACCATAGAACCCACTCAGAAATGTCAATGTCCTGTTCTGTTTCAGCTACTCCAACATTTTTGTGACATCTCCCAGCCCTGAGAATCTGAACACCCTGTTTGAGTTTGTCTTTAAGGGTTTTGATGCCCTGGATTACCAGGTTAGTGTTTCCCTCTTGTTTCTTGCCATTAATTGGATGCTTTTCATGGACAATGTGGTCAGGGAAAAGTTCTCAAATTCTTTGAAAAATCTTTTGATCCCGTAAAAATAGAAATGGACAACTTGAGTAACTGTTTTCTTGTCTATCTTGTTACCTGAATGTCTAACCTTCTATGACATATACAGGAGCACATGGACTATGAACTTGTCCAGTCCACAAACCCAGACTTCCACAAGGCTGTAGTCAGAGTCAACATCTACAGGGAACACAGACAGACCATACAGGTAAAAACAATATTGCTTTCTCTTCACTCAACTTTCATTTATTTTCTGTTGACCAGAGTAAGCCAGTTTGGACCAGTAGTGTATGTTCATTGTATTAATTATTCCACCAGCATAATGAATCAAAGACCTTTATTGTATATTCAGAGGACTAGGTTCAGACATGTATAGTATAGACAGCAATACACAAGTTAAACATACACATTTGTTTGCCACCACAGTACCTGCACCCCAGTGATGCCCAGAAGCTGGGTCAGGCAGAGCTGGTTGTGATTGACGAGGCGGCTGCCATCCCCCTCCCCCTGGTGAAGAGCCTCATGGGACCTTACCTGGTCTTCATGGCTTCTACTGTCAATGGGTGTGTACATGTTAGACATTTCTTATTGGTCAGGAGCATACCAATGTGCCTTCTGATTGGACAGAAGTCTTGTTACCGTAAGATACTAAATGGATATGCTGTATGAAGTGAATGTATTGTTTGTGAGGTTTGATTTTTTCACTGTCTTCAACAAAATGCATGGCTCTTGTATAGATATGATCTTAGCCCTATCAAATTCATATTTGCTAAGATAGAAGAAGTTTTGGAACATGGCACAGTTGGTTAATTTTTCAGCTTACAGTATTCTTCTGCTGACAACCAGAAAAGTTCAATGTGGGTGAATAGTGTTTTAAGCTGTTGGTATGTAATTTAAGGACAGAAGAAAACAATGTTGAAATCCCCCACTCCCACAGATACGAGGGCACAGGAAGGTCTCTGTCTCTGAAGCTGATTCAGCAGCTCAGACAGCAGAACGCGACCTTCGGTGGGAACTCAGAAGCTAAGGCAGCTGCTGCCATGGCAACCAAGACGGAGGGCGGGGCCAGTGCTACAGGTCAGTTTCCAACACTCTTCCCTGCAGTCTCATCATTGATAATACACGTACATCCTAAACAACCTTTACTGCAATCTTTAAAAAAACATGGAAGCTGTTTTAACTCTGTTCACATGATAATGGACCAAGAAAAATATTTTGTATTGTAACTTATACATTCTGGTGAAGTACATGTACCCATTCTTTTGAGTAACCTTTCTGTCGTGATTTCAGAAAGTCTTGCATTTTTTATATTGATGAATGTGAAGAATGTGCAGTGGTCGAAATACTTTTTTTCAGTGCTCTGCAATATTGCAGAAGAGTCAAAATTTCGTCCTGCAATTTGGAAATACTTTCTGCAAATACACAAGCCCCCATATTACAACCTTCTGAAACCAATAATGCCTATTTTTACATCACATATATATATATAACGGTATAGCTTTGTAAGTCTGTAGCATTACTGAAATTCTTCAAAATATCACTCTTCTAAATATGTTCGGACCGTAAAATTTTATCGGTCCGGTCCAAAAAAACCGAAAGGTCGGTGGACCGTTTTTTTTTTGACCGGAACAAAAATCCATATTTGTTGTTACTGAATAACTGATGATCACTGGAGAAGCGTCACGGGAGAAGCGTCATAGGACAACAACAACTACTAGTACTACAGAATACCAGTGCAGCAGGTGCGGGAAGCTGTGTGCCTCAGCCTTTGGGCTAAGAAGTCACCAGAGGATCCACCCCACCTGACGGGCTGTGCACAGAAGTCATCATCGGAGACGATGGACAACCAGAGATGATCACTACATACAAAGAAGCCTGCCAGGAAAATGAAAATCCAGCCTTCAAATAAAAGAAGTTTACCTTAGTCTCCGTCTCTCTCATTTTGCAACAATATTTTCCCGTATTTTGGTACCGATAGTCATCTAGAAATCATAAAGGACAAGTCTACGGGCCGTGCTTGGTTCGGATCGAGTCGAAAATCACTGATTTTACACAATATGGTCACAATGTGATGCACGTAAATTTTCACTCGAAATGAGAAATTACCGCCCAACAAAACGGACCATTAGGTTCCCAGTGCTGTATTTCTCTTTCGTTCATGTGATCAACTTGTTTTCTTTGCTTGGATCGTGCAAAATACCAAGGAAAAACATCGAAATTTCGGCAAATTAACGCCGAGGCGAGTGTGGTTTTTCGGAGGAGCCATGTTTCCTTTGCCGTGTTGCCTGCTGGGAAATGCTCAGCGAAAACTGCCGAAAATTGCCGAGGCAGTTGTCGGGTCCTCCCGGGAGACGAAATCTAACATCGGAAAATGGCGAGTGCCCATATTTGGTTATCGTCGCCTTTCGTCGCCTTGTCGAAATCGTTCAACTTTGACCCCAAATTCCCTTATATGGGAACATTACAATCTGCTGGAAAAACGCCGGCAGGTTCGTGCGGCGCAGGTTTTCGATCTATTCACAGCGCCACTGCTTTGCTAATTGAAAACTATTGAATCCGGAGCCTATTTTTTCCTTCTGCAAAATTGCAGATTGTAAGATTTTTTCTTCTGCAATCTTGAAAATCTATCTGCAAATTGCAGACTGCAGACGGGTATTTCGAACACTGATGTGTAAAAAATGCCCTGTACATTATCCCCCCCCCCCAGGCCGAACTCTGCATGAGCTGGTGCTGACCGAGTCCATCCGTTACGCCAGCGAGGACCCGGTGGAGGCCTGGCTGAACCGCCTGCTGTGTCTGGACGTGTCCAGTGTTCCCAGGGTGCACTCTGGCTGTCCCATCCCTGCCAGCTGTGACCTATATCCTCCACATGGATGTTAACACTGCTGCAAAGGTGGCAAGCACGATAAAGAATAGGGAAAGCATATCACTACCTTGGAAGGCATTTTGACTTATAAGAGCTTTTTTGATTATGTTGTAGAAAAGATTGATGGCACTCTAGAAATACACAGCATCTTTGGTACATTTGGTAAACATTAGATTGATAGATTGAAAGTAAAATATATGACATATATGGCAATGTATGTTGAAGGTCTAGGTAACGACATACCAAATAGACAGTTACTCAAGCAAATGGATACAGTCTATTCAGTTGCTTGAGAAACTGTAACCTTAACAGGATTTATATGCCTGTACCAGTCTCTCTATGTTTGAACGTATCCATTCCTTAACCCCTCCCCACATACTATGTGAACAGGGACACCCTGTTCTGTTACCACAAGGCATCTGAGGCCTTCTTACAGAGGATCATGTCCATATATGTGTCTGCACATTACAAGGTGATGGTCAAATATAACATGTTGAATTAAAGAGATCTTAAATGTTCAATAGAATGAAGCAAAACAACATTGAAAAGATTTACCAAGATTGCAAAACAAGAGCTTGTTATCAGTTTTGTCCTATTTGTAATTGGTGCTTTAGGCCAAGGAGAGGTCCTGTCACAGATATGTAATAGTGAGTGATAATCAGTTCAGTACCAAGGAGAGGTCCTGTCACAGATATATTCAATATCATTTTTATCAATTTTGCCATATTCTCAGCTTTGTTTCTGTTATTGGAGGAAAAGAATATCAATTGGTTGTTTTCTACTAATTCTAACATGGAGTAACCATTGTAGTTTGAACACCTGTATGTTTCCAGAACACTCCTAACGACCTCCAGATGCTGTCAGATGCTCCGGCTCACCACCTGTTTGTGCTGCTGCCACCTGTGGACCCTGACCAATCAGCTCTGCCGGAAGTACTGTGTGTAGTTCAGGTAGGGCCATTTCAGTACACAGTCGCTGATTGGATACTGTTAATGCCTTGATTGATTATTTGAATTACTTTATTCTAGGTACATTGACCCATAGCAATAAAATATTTATGTAAACACAAATAGTCTAAATATACAACAATTTAGATACATTTACAAAATAAAGGTTAGATTTTGTATACTAGTATGTCGAAATATATCTGTCCATCTATCCAATCAATCCATCCAACCATCCCATTATCCAGGTGTGCTTGGAGGGGGAGATCTCCAAACAGAGCATCATGTCAGGTCTGAGCCGTGGCAAGAGGGCGTCAGGTGACCTCATACCCTGGACGGTGTCCCAGCAGTTCCAGGACACAGAGTTTGCCAGTCTGTCTGGCGGCAGGGTTGTCAGAATAGCCACACATCCAGACTACCAAGGGGTAAGTGGTTAAGTGATGTCCAGCAGTTGTGTGATCATTATGCTATGGTCCTACACAACAGATCTGTTTCTGTTCACATATATTGCCATGCATGTTAAAACTATGACTTGAAATTTTGAATTTGTATAAGAACGTGTTGCTACTGATTTTCCTTGTCATTGTCTATTGTCAATTTTTCTGAATACCCGAGTTCCGCTTTCACTACTTCCTTCAGAATTCTTGTGAAAGTCGATCATCATTTTCTCAATCTACTGAAATAACCTTCAGTGTTGTGCCTGTTTAACAATATATTTGACATGGGTAGGCTGAAACGTTTGCATTATAACTGTTTTGAGGGTATGTGTGAACTTCCTTCTTTCAGTAGCTTCCCTATGTTATTTCCAGATGGGTTATGGTATGCGAGCCCTACAGCAGCTGGACATGTACTACCAGGGGAAGGTCCCCAGTCTGTCTGAGGACACAGGAACAGCACAGGGGCTGCCTGCTGTGGACAAGGAGGTAGTGTGTCAGGGTATTGTGTTTCAGTAGAACAAAAATATAGTGTGATAGTGCACACGTTTTCACTACAAAAGGGATAGCTGGACAGATTTTAGTGAAAACCTGTCAAACTGCAGAATTAGGCACCCATCCATAATCCATTAAACCATGGGAATAGGAGACATTTCTTGTTTAAAAAGCAGCTACTTTCAGTCTGAATTTGAGTAAATTCAAGGAAGTCAGATGAAGTTCACACTTGCTCACTATCACTAAAGGAGAAACACCTTTTGGTCTACATGTTCAAAGAATTGGGCATCTGTTGTTTTTTTTTTTTTTGATAGTAAAACGTGTGTTGGTGTAAAACAGCAAAGATTGATAGAAGTCAAATCCTTTACAACAGTTGACACCTTAGATGTTCACTTCCAGACTGTGTCCCTGTTGGAGGAAAAACTTGGTCCCAGGAAGAACCTGCCGCCCCTGCTGTCCAAACTGAGCGAAAGACCGGCAGAGAGGCTAGACTACCTGGGTGTGTCCTACGGGCTGACGGCACCCCTGCTCAAGTAAGGCTGTTTAACTCAGGATTTGTCAATTTTGTCACATTAGCTTTCTTACAGTTGGTCTGGCTTTATTTCAAACTGCAATGCTTGTCATTGGAACTGGTGAGTGTCTGATTGTGTACTTCAACTTGTTCTTGACAACTTTTTGTTAATGCTTTTGTAGGTTTTGGAAGAAGGCAGGATATGCTCCAGTTTACCTGAGGCAGACTCCTGTAAGTAGTTTTGTTGATCTGTTTCCTTTTGTAAACAAGGTATCAAGGTACTGTAACGGATAGTTAGTGATAATCAGTTCAGCACCAAGGAGAGGTCCTGTCACAGATATGTTAAAGTGATAATCAGTTCAGCACCAAGGAGAGGTCCTGTCACAGATATGTTAAAGTGATAATCAGTTCAGCACCAAGGAGAGGTCCTGTCACAGATATGTTATAGTGATAATCAGTTCAGCACCGAAGGGAGGACCTAACACAGATATGTTATAATGATAATCAGTTCAGTACCAAGGAGATAACCTATCACAGATATGTCATAGTGATAATCAGTTCAGCACCAAGGAGAGGACCTAACACAGATATGTTATAATGATAATCAGTTCAGTACCAAGGAGATAACCTATCACAGATATGTCATAGTGATAATCAGTTCAGCACCAAGGAGAGGTCCTGTCACAGATATGTTAAAGTGATAATCAGTTCAGCACCAAGGAGAGGACCTATCACAGATATGTCATAGTGATAATCAGTTCAGCACCAAGGAGAGGTCCTGTCACAGATATGTTAAAGTGATAATCAGTTCAGCACCAAGGAGAGGTCCTGTCACAGATATGTTGAAGTGATAATCAGTTCATCACCAAGGAAAGGACCTATCACAGATATGTCATAGTGATAATCAGTTCAGCACCAAGGAGAGGTCCTGTCACAGATATGTTAAAGTGGTAATCAGTTAAGCACCAAGGAGAGGTCCTGCCACAGATGTTATAGTTACCTTCATGTAGTAACATGTCTGTCTGGATCAACACAGGTAAAATTATTTGTATCTATAAAAGTTGAAAAAGGACATATATTGATTATTGACTTTTTCATGTTGTTGTTTTTCTCTAGAATGACCTGACAGGTGAACACTCCTGTATCATGTTGAAGAGGATACAGGAAGATGATGAAGGCCAGGATACAGACTGGCTGTCTGCCTTCTGGACAGGTAATAATGCATTAACAAAGTCTCTGGATCATGGAATGTCATGTCATGACCTCTCTGAAGATGAAAGAATTCCTCTTAGGAGAACATTAGGAAAATCTTCTGGATAATGCATTTTTGTAACACTTATGCAAGAATTTGTATTCAGTTTATGTGCTGCTGCCGTATTTCTGTCTTAATGCATTCACAAGTTTGATTCATCTTTTCATAACCAGCATCGATATTGATAAGTATGGTTAGCTATCTGCTCATTTTCAATGTCAATAACGATGACAACTTATCTTCCAACAGACTTCCGGCGACGTTTCCTGTCTCTACTCTCGTACCAGTTCCGTACCTTCCAGCCAGCCCTGAGCCTCAGCATTTTACAGGCTAAGAAAGATGTCAAGACTGATACATCTGGTATGGCATAGCTGTTCTTCTATATGGTGCTGGTTAAACAAAGGATCATTTCTTTGGTTTACATTATTTGCACAACAAAGATTGAAATGGTTCTTGTTATCTCTGTACATTACCGAAACATCTCTGTGATTGACAGGTGTAAGGTCATTTATGTATCCTCCTCTTGCCCAGTCCTTACCCAGGGGGACCTGTATGCCCACCTGACCCAGTATGACCTGAAGAGACTGGACTTGTACTCCAGGAACATGGTGGACTACCACCTGATCATGGACCTGCTGCCTGCCCTGGCCAGGATGTACTTCCTACAGAAACTGGACACGTCTCTGTCTGTGGCACAGTCGGTAAGTTTGGCTGGGGTACTGTATATTGTAAAGTGATATCCATGCAGGCGTAAACACGTACAGGTGCCAAAGATCTCTATGATGAATCTTATGGATTATGCTTGAGGAAATGATAAATTAGTCTTTACTTGGTTCCTCAATTCTTCAAACATTCTGACATTTTCCTTGGTCATACACAAATTGAAATATGTTTTCCTATTTGAATACCTTCAACAATTAATTATTATGTTTCTGCTGAAAAGTTGTCTCACTTGAAAAACTGCATATGTTTTGTTTTCATCTGTTCATCCCATGCCAGGCCATCCTGTTAGGGTTGGGACTTCAGCATAAGACAGTAGATGACCTGGAGAGAGAGCTGGAACTGCCAGCCTCACAGGTGATGGGTCTGTTCAACAGGCTGGTCAGGAAGATTGTACAGGTCAGTCTTAATGTCATTCCTTTTTAGGAATGTCTTGGATTTTAAGTTCTGAGGTTCAAGGAAATTAGCCACAGTTTAACTGAACAACCCATACTTTGTGGACAGTAAAAGTACACGTACATGTATTTGACAATAGTTGTAGCTTATAAACTTTCTAGTTTTCAACTCTATAAGAAGTAAAAAGTGTCAACTTAAGTACACTGTCATCAATCCTAATTTCAGTTCCTGAGTAGTATTGAAGAGCAGGCAGTGGAAAGTGAACTCCTGGCACCCAAAGAAGTGGTGATGGAACCAACAGCACAGTCCCTGAAGACTGAACTGGCAGAGGCAGCCAAGGAGTTTGAGGACAAGCAGAAGAAAGAACTGAAAAAGCTCAAGGATATGGACCTTGAGAAGTAGGATTTCCCAGCAATTTGTGTACAAGCCATTTACAGTTCTAATGATTGGTCACTTTGAAATAGAAAGGCCGTGAGGACAATGCAATTGAAGCACCATAGCAGATAATTTTTTCATTCTTGTTGACAGCTTTTTGTAATGCCTTTAAAATGTATACTTAAAGATTGCATTTAGGAAGTGTATTAGGTGTTCCAACAAGAACCCAAAATTAACACAGTATTTGTGTTGTGACAGATACGTCATCAAGGGATCTGAGACAGAATGGGAGTCAGCGCTGACCAGTGGGCTGAAGAGTGGAGTCGTCAGTGTGGCCAGGTATGTTGAACTAGTTACTTCTGCAGCAGAGGTATTGTTATGTACTTTGGGTGTCTGTGTCTAGTCTGCACTTACACTGCATGACCTTGAGTGTCACTGGAGTAGTGGGGTAGTGAACTCAGTGTGGTCTTGGGATCATAATGTGGTTTGGAAGAAGCCAGGAATGTGTGATTATTTAAAGTATGACTGATGGTGCAATTGTGGAAGTTACTTCATACAATTGTATATTAAGTAGTAGGACATCGTGTGATGTAATTCAGTTGGATATCCCAATACAGTCCCAGAAGTCTAAAATCTTCCAGTTCTTGTTGAAGCCTGTATTATGGTCTCTATAAAAATGCACAGTACCAATAGTTCTGAATGACCTTGGGCAAAAATGAGGTCATGGCCTGTAGTTTTAGGTCACACTTGTTAATAATAATAAGCAGTTGATATTAAATGTTGTGCAACACATATCAATGTTTTGAACAATTCTGTATCGGTTTCAATGGGATTTATGACAAACTTTAAATTTGTATGTCATTTTTTCATGTACCACTCACAGTGGAAAGAAGAGAAAAGAAGAGGCAGCCCCCACACCAGAGTCAACAAAGAAGAAATCCAAGAAGTTCAAGAAAGACAAAAAGTTCAAGAAGACTTGATTAGTATGAGTTGAGTGGATTTGTGTTAGGTCATTCTAAATTTATTATTTTCCCCTTTCTCTTTTTTTTAGACTGATGGAATTCAAATGAACATGTAGCTGTACTACACAATGGAGTTGTCCATGTTATCCATATCAGAAATAGGTCTCTACACTTTTTTTATGCAGTTACTATTAGCAATGACTTAACAGTATACCATGCTTTAAGTTGCATCCTTTATTGAAAGAAGTCGGTTGATCACAAAAGTATCTGTGTAACTTGAAAACTGTCTTGATGACTTCAAAATTGCATTGAAAAGGCAGTAATAGAATTTTTTGCTGTTCCCCAGAAATTTGGCATTAGTCTGATCATGAATACTGCATTCCTGTATACGAGTTTAACTTAGTGGTTTTGTCAACCTTGCTATGTACCTACTACCTTGTACCTTTTCAGTACAGATAAGACAAAAAGATTTTACTGACAGTTTGTGAACTATTTTAATCATAAATTTAACATAGACAATATACATATATTGTCTGTCAGAATGTATGATATCCTTTAATTCTCTGCGGGATTTGTTCAAAATGGAGCAAAACCCTTTTTTTCCTTTTTATTTTCCTCAGTTTCGTCACTGCTGATGGAAATTGCAATATTTACTGTGGCAGTATTCTTGGCAAGAACCCCTTGAACAATAAACATGGTCCTGTGTTAAACTGGAAGGTTGCTGAAGTTTGGCACTGACGGTAGTGAGAGAGGTTACCAGCAGAAAGAAAACTTTTAGATTGGTCCTGGAAACCCATATACATACGTATAGCAACAACACAAAAAAGGCCCAATTTTAAAACATGCAAGATAACAGTAAGTGCCAAGGGAAGGTTTCAAATGTCATGATATTGCAACCTCTTGGCAAATTCACCCTTACTGTAGCAAGTGCTCCTAGATATCTCAAGATGCTTAAGGCATACGGGTAATGGGTACATGTACACTCTGTACATGCAATCTACCATCAAACATCATCTCCTTACTGCAATGTTCTTCAAGCTTTGAATCTGCCTGTGGCTGCCTGTATGGCTTTGACATACATTGTAAGTTCTACAGGACCAAATAGCAAGGAAAGTATACACAGAGGGGAGCTCACTACATTGCAGCTGTTTGCCAGGCTGGCTAACTTGTATTGGTCTTTTCCTTTTGTTTACACCAAAATTACAGCAGAGGTAGCATTTTGGTATAAAGACTTGTACAGTAATGTATGTACCACAACTTTTCTCAGTGTGGTATTGCTTGAAACAATACACAGTATCCTAGCATATTGGAGCATTCTGGAGGAAACAGAGTAGCTTGAAATAAGATACATTATACAACTATGAACACAACTTACTATGAACTTTCCTAAAAGTAACCATTGCCAGACTTAAGGCCCAGACATAAAATGCTACACAAACCTATATGTAACCAAACTACGTACAACTTAAGTATGCACTATCCAATAAAATAGTCATGCCAGCAACTGCCAATAAGTCACGGTGGTACATGTACATACATGTATATATTTGTACCTCTTATTACAAAACAGCTCTTAACTTCGTAACCCTAAGCATGCATTGAGTGTAGTTACAAATGTAAATAATGTGTAAATTCCTTACACATGCACACATCTTTATGTTAAAATACAATCCACACTTTGAAAATGATAAATGTACTAGACAATATACAGTACATGTATTGTATGTATGTAACAAAAGCAAGGCTGGCTGTAACCAAGATTCAAGCATCCTGAAATAGGTATTCCATCAGATAATGTTTCACTGATGATGGCACAAAGCTCCAATGGCACTTATTGGTATATAGGAAGCATGGGGAACTTCCTTTCACTACCAAGGCAGTCTGTGTCTAGAACATTTCTGGTCAAAATAATAGAGAAATGGGGGTAAATTACAGCAAGCTGTACTACATACACATTGTACCACATATCATAAAACAAATCATACATATACATAATTTAAAGCCTAAAAGAACTATATGGTGATTATAATATATATTGGATTATATTAAATAAACTTTTTAAAATTATCTTTTTTTGTAAACAAGACATGTCATGCCCATGCATAATTACATTATACTGTTCAAAGTCATTTTATCTACATGTACATTTTTTCACCGGGAAGACAAAAAAGCATCATGAGCACAGGTGTGTGAAAATGTTATTGCAAGTTTTGGAATATTTTTATACAAAAGTCTTGATCTCTCAGTCTGCATTTCTCTCTGAAACTCTTTTACCTGCTAGACATTAACACCACTAACATTGTGTGAGCTTCTTCTGGCCATTTTCACACACCTAGTCACAATTCTTTCTTATCCCTCAATCCCAGTACAGAATTGGTTATAACAGATAATATCTTCCTACTTATTTTGATAAATTGAAACAGACAATAACACAGATTCCCTTGTCAATTGCACAAAATAGGGTGAAAAACAAAAGATCAATGTTAATGAATGAGTACAGCCCTTTTATTTTCATTATATATAAAGTCATGTATATCAAACTTGTGATAGACAACTACTACGTGTAGGTAACCATTACTGTATAATAATATAGACGAGTAAAATCCTTCCATAATACTTGATTCTAAAATTATATAATACATTGCTAACACAGACCACAAAATAAATGTAAAAAGATTGGGAAATACAGACACTGACTTTGATTTCACATGAATCTGTAGCTGCCTATTTTTCACTGTTCGATACATGTCAAACACAAACATTTTGTGCAGTAAGGCTAGTTTTGTAATGTGACATTGTTATGTTGCTATTCACATGTAGAAGCAGGTGTCTTTTAGTCTAATGGTGCACCAGACCATTACTACATGGCACAAAATGAACGAGCCCAGTGGGGACACAGACGAATGTGAAGCTGGCGTGAAGGTACTGGGAGGAAACAGAACAGTTGAAGGGCACTCATCTGTGTTGAATGTCATGGCAGCTTTAACCTGTGTCGACCTGAGCTTCACCTGGGAAGAGAGGTTAACAGGGGACACATTGAATGCCAAGCAAGCATGTGTCATTTACATGAAATGGGGCCCTTCATTAGATCAAATGCCCTGTACTGTGATACCACTAAGTAAATGTCCATGTAGTAAATATTAAAGAAATGATAAGTAGGACGATCAAAAGTAGGCAATAAAATATATTCCCCTCCTCAGACTTCTAAAAACTCGACAAAGCGCGAGACACAAACCTAATACAAAAACAAACTCCACAAAAAGTTAGAGATGCTTTTCTCCCAGTTTTACCAGCAGACTGTTTACAACCCTATGAGATGTGTACCAACCTTACAGTGACCCTCATGACCTGCTCCGACTTCTGCTGACACTCCGGCTGGCTGATCTACTTCTGCTGCGACTACGACTCCTGTCAGCAGACTTGGAGCGGTACTCTCTCCTAGAATCACAGTAAGCACAGACTGAATTCTATTCATCATAAATTAATGTGTGCAGTGACTAAAAATACTTCATGTGATATTGAGTATGTGACTGTCAATTTTGAATAAAATTTGACTGACTGTTGTATGGTCATGTGATGTGAAATTCCAGATGACAATCTAAACCGCTTGATGGGTTCAAATATCTTTAAATGGATATTTTTGGAAAACATTTCATGACCATCATCTTTCCTATTTAAGACTGGCCAAAGGGAGTCCACTGCTGCAGCTCATCCATGCACTTGACATATTGTGTCAATCTGTCATTTCAGGCATCGTGCAGAACTCCATGCCTTCAACATACACATTCTTGGCAAGATTCAACCTACATGTATTCTAGTATGAACTTGTACACACATGGTCCGTAGGTAAGCGTTTTTTCTTCATTTGGGAACAAAGTTAACATGTCTTGGCAATGACCATAATGGTAGAATTTTCTCCAAATTTAAAAGTACATTACTGGGTGCTAAGTTGGCAACATCTACAATGATGATGCTGAGATTGCCTGTTGTACATGCACATAAAAAAGTAAACAAAAACAGTAACAGGTCTTCTAGTAGATACAAATCTGCAATAAAAAACTTGAACTGTCAGTGGATTAAAACCCTGTTGTTAAATAAAACTGATCAGGAGAGTTAGGTGCACTGCTGCAGGCAAACATGGCAGTAGCAGTACCTCACAAACAACACTTGCAGGGATTACAACAAGATACAAAAACATCCAACAGCATGTTCTCCATTTCTGCAGCTGATTGTACATACTCTGCAGCAGGATGTTAGCCCAAGGAAACAGCCCATCTGAAAAACCAATGTTAATGTCTTGATTGTACATTCCTTTGTGAACAAGCAGGCAGTGGTTGCATCAACTGTCATACCTGCTACGAGAATATGACCGTGATCTTGACCTGCTCCGGGATCGCATGTAGGAGTCTGAGCGCCGCCTACGGTAATACGGAGAATAAGAGCGGGACCGGGACCTTGAGCGGGAGTGTGTCCACGATCTTTAGGAAGACGTTAAAGATGGAAGAAATTATTCCTGTAGTACAGTTCCTGGTAATGGTTGTTCTTATACACTAAGATGTTGTAAGGGAGGGTGAATGGATAAGTACAAAAATGTATCTACTTGGCAAAGCTGATAAAAACTGTATATTCTGAAAAAAAAACACTCACCTCCTACGTGAAGGTGACTTTGACCTCCTGGATGGTGATCTGGATCTTGACCGGCGTGACCTTCTGGAGTGGTAGTAAGGGGAGGGTGAGCGAGAACGGGAATAGCTGTACGACCTGCTCCCAAAGGAGTGAGGAGAGATATAGGAACAGCACAACACCCCATTAAAAAATAAAAGGACAGGCTAGGTCTAGGAGGCTATGTGAGGGCTGACTAAAATACACACATGCTTAACCAATGAAGTTGTTTTTTTTCTTAGTTTCCTTCAAGAGGGCAAAAAGGACAGTACTCCAAACATCACAACAGTAATAAT